GGAGCCGTGCAGGCAGCGGGCATGGGCAAGGCAGGGCAGAATTTATGGCTAGAGTCCAGCTCCCCGGCACGGGCAAGTTGTGTTGGCAGGGAATTATGCACTGAACATTTCCCTCGTGAAAACCAACACTGCAGCAGCGGGAGGAAAAAGGGACGCTGGCACTTTGGTTCCTTAAATCCTGGATTCGAAGGGGAGCTCGGATCAATTTGGAATATCCGCTCGCCTCCGAGCTCCGACTCGCTCCGGGCAGGCTGCGATATTCAATTACTTTGCAAAGCTGTGACCTTTACGCGTGCCCCCAGCTCCACCACCATCTTCCAGGAAGGATTCCGACGACGTCCTGTCGCTGGAGGCTCCCGCCTGTTAACGACGGGCTCCTGACCTGGCCGCGGGACACTTCGCACCAGACAAGAAGAAACCAGGAGAGTTTTATTGGAACACAAACACGGGAGAGCAGTACAAAAATAACGCCGCTGGGTTGGCACCGACGTCCGTTATCCAAAAGGGACCCAGCGTAAAAATGTACAAAAAATAATTTAGAATATAAAAATTCCACGTTTCTAGTGAACCCCCCCCCCATCAGTGTTTTACAGGATCCTTGGCCTGTGTTTACACAAGCACCTTGGGCACATCCGTTCCTCCAGAATCGGCAAATTACGCTTCCCACCCAGCTTCCCTCCGCCGGCACGGAGGCAAGTGCTCTGCTCGCCGCCGGGATGGCGAATCTCTAACGTCCTCCATCCTTTGGCTGAAGAAAAAGGAGCTGTCTCGGAACGGGATGCTTTGTGTTTACTCCAAAAAAGGTTAATTAGAGAAATTTCACATGAATAAATCCAAGAAATTGGGAGACGTGAAGACCAGATAACTGCTCTTGGGTGAGCCTCATCGGGGACCTGCCCTTGCAAGACACACGGTCTCTCAGCTCCCCTTGGTTGCCCACCAGGCTTCGAGTCCCTCTAATGAGATACCAATTAGGCTAATTAAAAATCAGAGCCTGAAATCTACGGCTTCCATCTCCTCCCCCCGGGAGAACCCGGCGTTTGCCGATGCATCAGGCATGACCCACGGCCCAGGAAGCAACCGCTGCCAACAGCCTCTTGCCAACGTTACTCCTTCTTGGACAGCTGAGCGGAGAAGATCTTGGCGATCCTTTTGGTTTCCTCTTCCGACAGCTGGGCCGTGGGCCTGGGACGAGGTGGCCTTCGGTACGGGATGGCGCCCGGCACGGCTCCGCTCCTGCTCTGCGGAGAGAAGGAACGAGACGTCAGAGCCCTCCCGGCGCTGCCCCGCGCCCGCTTTCCGACCGCGACAGCCCACGGGGTCCTGCAGCGTGCGACCAGTTGGGTGCACAGGAAAACACCCTCGTGATGGGTTTTCTGTCGCTCACCGCTTCTCCCCGCAGGGGTTTTACTCTTGTTCCGCACGCCGAGAGGCAACTGTTTGGAAAAAAAACCACTTGTTTGTTCCAACTTGGCAAAAGAATTCAGGATGGTGAAATCCCTGTGAAATCCCTGTCGGATGCTGCAATGTTGTTCTTCCTCAGCGCTGCAGAAAGCAAAAGCCAAAATTCAAAAGGTCCAAACCACACGGTTTGGCTCCGGCAAGCGAGCTCTGGATTTGGGAATGTCCACCCTCAGCCAAAGGCGTCTTCTCCGAGTTACGCCGGTGTATTCACCGGGCTCCGCCTCTCCGGAATTTTGTTTTCAATTATTATTTTATTTTTAATTTGCAGAACCCAAAACCTAAAGCACTTTGCAAAGCTCCCACCCAACAAATCCAAGCTTGACAAACGAAAGCAGCCAGTCCCAAGTTCCCTGCAGGAACCCCTACGCAGCAGCCCACGAGATGGAGAAACCACCATCGCCCCCGGTCCCCCGCGCCCTCCCAGCAGTCGGGCTTTCTCCCAGCTGTTGCAGCAGCACTGAAGATGGACGTTTTCAGTGTCCAAAGAAATTCCTCCCCAACCAGTTCAGAGCCACGTCATGCCCATGAAGCCCCCAGAGAGGAGAGATCCAGCTCCAGCTGCCTTTAGAGGCTGAAGCAGCGCTGGTTTTGGATGTGCCGCTCAGTAGCCGTGGGGCCAGGAAGGCCTCCGGGAGAGCAGGGTTTGACTCGGGAAGCTGAGATGGTGGTCTGGCATCTTGCCTACATAGCCAGGCTGCTTCTGCGTCCCAGCCGGGCTCCGCCTCGCTGGGCACCGGCGTGGTGGAAAGGGCTCCTAAGGTGATCAGCTCAGGGGTGCCAGGATCCTGTTTCCTGGGCACTCTCTGCTTTGGCGTGCCTGAAAAATGGGTTTTTTAGGAATAAGTGGGTTTCGGAGATCTCTTGTGTTCGGTTTCCTGTGCTTTACAGGCTCAGATGATGGATGCGTGGAGCATCAGCCCCGGTGACCATCATCTTCATCGCTGGTGAAGACCCTGATGGGAAAACAGTCTGCAGATAAAAACACCACACCCTGATCGGCACATCCTGGGTGTCCCTGTGTTTGCCAGAGCCAGGGCAAAGCCCAGGAGGCTAACTGAAAGCTAATTCATCAGCTACAACTTCTGCTGGAGTGGGGCCAGAGGAGGCCACGGAGATGATGCGAGGGCTGGAGCACCTCTGCTCTGGAGACAGGCTGGGAGAGTTGGGGCTGTTCAGCCTGGAGAAGAGAAGGCTCCGGGGAGACCTTCCAGCACCTCCCAGTGCCTAAAGGGGCTACAGGAAAGCTGGAGAGGGGCTTTGGACAAGGGTGTGGAGTGACAGGACACGGGGCAATGGCTTTAAACTGAAAGAGGGGAGATTTCGATGGGATCTAAGGAAGAAATTCTTCCCTCTGAGGGTGGTGAGGCACTGGCACAGGTTGCCCAGAGAAGTTGTGGCTGCCCCATCCCTGGCAGTGTTCAAGGCCAGGTTGGATGGGGCTTTGGGCACCCTGGTGTAGTGGAGGGTGTCCCTGCCCATGGCAGGGGGGTTGGAACTGGATGATTTTGAAGGTCCCTTCCAACCCAAACCATTCTGTCATTCCATGACTACGACCTGAGCACAAGCAGCACCTCTCCCGCGTTTCTCCCTCTGAGCCAACGCAGTCACAGACTCTGA